TCTTTCCTTTATTTGACATGAGTGGTGGTGGTGAGTTGGTTCCCAATATGTCCCCGTGTATAAAATTGTTCCCAAATACACCTAGAGTTTGCTTGTCTCCAGATATAAATGATACATATACAAAGTAAATTTGACTGAAGGTACAAATAAACCCTGGCGACAAGAGTGCATCTTCTGTTGCATACTCTCCAACTGTCCCATTTTGACTGGGGCAATTCCAGTTAATCTTCTGTTGTCCTATTTTAGCTGGTTTTAAGATATCCACATTTATTTCTCCTCCTCCCAGTAACACCCTTTATCCTTTGTTGTATTTCTGCAAATTGAATTCAAAGAAAAAAAACTAATAACTTGGCAGGGGGGAAATGAGATGATGGGTGAAATCTTTTCCTTCAGAGTGATTTGGCAAAAGCAAACTGCTGCAGCCTCTCCTGACTTGTGAATGATTTCTCAATGATAACTTTTTTCCCCATCTTGATGACACCCTTATGTTACTTGGCCACACCTGTTCTGTTTTTCATCTATGATATTGGTGGTAATACTATTTCTTCCGATAGTAGCAAGTAAACATTAGGAAGTATATGGCAGCACTTTGTTAGTGTTTCCTCACCATTGTTCATGGTTGCCACAGCTTTCCACTTCTTGCATGATGTTCATCCCTTCAATGAGTAAGACCAGTTTTCAGCATTGTTGAGCCCGATGCATTAGGAAACTTTAAAAGAGAGCATGAAAATGACAACTGTCTCTTTGACCACAGAAATTATTTAGGATACACTGTATATATTACAAACAATATACATAGTTCACCACATTTTCACTTATTCACTTAGAATCTCCTGTTAAAGCAACACTCTCTTTTCAGTTACCCCATCATTCATCCCATTGAAAACAATAAGATTTAATAATGTATGTGAGTTTATATATTCATGTGAAATCAGAAATACATTTCTTATGAACAGGGGGTTGTCCTGTACTGTGCTAGTGAGACTCAAGAGATGACATTTGAATGTATGAATTAAGTATATAACTGGGCCAGAAGCTTTACAGGGAAGTTCATTATAGTAACTCTTTACTTCATCAATATTCTGCAGAAACAAAATTAGTTATTTCTATTTTATGTCAAATAATAAGTAGATGGAGCGAGCTTTTCTGCTACGCCAAACAAAAGAACAGAAATCAATGCATTGAAATTATGAGAAAAAAAGATACAAATTAAACATTAGGAGGCACTTCTGGACACTATAACCTCTTCACATGGGGCTAAATTCAGCAGCGTGTGCCAATTTAGCCCCAGTCACCCACCAAGCCAGCCAGCTGTCATCAGATGGCACCGGCGTGGATCTGTGGGTGAAGGAGGGTGGAGCCAGTGCATGCTACCACTAGGACAACATGGGAGAGTTCCTGTGTTGCCATTGCAATGCATGGGCAAAAGTCACACTTGCTCATACTTCTCTCATCTGATCGCTTTCACCTGGAACCAATGGGGATGAGGAACATGAAGGGGAGCACTACCAGTTACTGTGTGACAAGGTCATAAGAGCTATTCAACATTGGAGTACATTGTCTTGGAATGTAGTGGAGTTTTCATCTTTGGAGATTTTAAAGCCTTTTTTAGGAGTGTTTTAGTTGTTTAGATTGTAGTGGGTTGGACTAGAATGGCCTTGTGGCCCCTTCAAATGAGATACAAGAATTCTCTAGTTTTGGAATTCTGTGTATAAACTCATTACCTGTGGTGCAAAACATGCTCAAGTAGTGAGATCATATTCTGTAATCTTGGTAACTAAAACAGTTACCAAGATATATTACATCAGCTGGCTTCTAAATGATTTACATAATCTCATAGATACTAGAGGATTAATTTATATTATTTTATATGTTCTGGTTGACAAACTTACATTATTGTAGCTTTTGAAATGGTGCCTATTATTACAGAAAAGGAGTGATGCTGTCATTTAATATATTGTTTAGTTATATAACTTACCCTAAATACTCATGAATAAGTCAAGAAATTTTATTTAAAAAATCAACCCCCAAAAAACCTGGGTTGAGTTATCTATGGGTCAGTGTGAGCAATGGGTTAAACTCCTGTGCTGGCAGGACTGAAGACCGACAGGTCACAGGTTCAAATCTGGGGAGGGCACAGATGAGCTCCCTCTATCAGCTCCAGCTCCTCATGCGGGGACATGAGAAAAGCCTCCCACAAGGATGATAAAACATCAAAACATCTGGGCATCCCCTGGGCAACGTCCTTGCAGACAGCGAATTCTCTCAAACCAGAAGCAACTTGCAGTTTCTCAAGTCACTCCTGACATGACAAAAAAAAAAGTGTGAGCGCTGTAACTTAACTCATCAAAAAAGGAATCACCCACTCTTTGAATAGAGTCATAAAAGGCAAGAGCTTATTCTGTTGTGAGATAACCCAAAATAAACACCTACCTCTTTTACTATCTTCACTGTGGCTTTTCTGAATACTTCAGCAAGGAAATGGAGGTTTCCCCTCTCCCTAGAATAACCCTTGAGTTATCCAAAAGTCATATCAAAACCCATAATTTTGGTCCTAAAACCTGCCCTTGACATACATGAAGTTGATTTATACATTAATTTATATGGTATATCTCTTAGGCTTTGAAATAAAGACTTCATTTAAATAAAGCTGATTGATTGCAACTACAGTCAGTCCTCCACATTTGTGGGTTTAACTGCTGCAGATCTGATTATTTGCAGTAATATTTTCTCTCTAGAAATGTCTAGGTCATCCAACATAATTCTATGCTTAGCTAGTGGATGTTGCTCATAGAATCACGTGGAAGAATCTACACATTCTTAGAGAGAACCGTTATTTAGGCATTTGTAGGACCTCTAGTATAATTCTATGTTCCCCTTTGCTTAATGTTCACTAGTACATAGTCATGCTGCAGAAACCAGAAATTCCTGGTGAGATGCTCCTTCTCAAATATTGCACCTGAATTCCCATGAAAGTGGAGAATCCACTTTAGTTGATTAATCTAGTGCTGATTAACTGATGCATTATAGCAAGAGTGTTGAACCTGAAGCCCAAGAGCAGCACACTGACCCTGGCCTAGTTTCTTTCATATCTTGGCTTCATTTCATGCTCTGTGCACCTTGCAAACAACTCACTTTTTCTCTCCATCCCATCAGGTCTTTGAATCTAGGCTTTACTGTGTTTCGACAGAGATAATGTTTATCTTGAAAAGATAATGTTTGCCTACTCCTAAGATACAGGAAGGAAAGAGACTTTGATAAACATGTAAATCTCAGATAATCTGACACATGAAGTTAGAATTACAGTTGGGAAAAATTGGAGGGTTCCAGCTGTTTCACAAGTTGTCTTGTCAAGGGAAGAAAAATTGGGAGCATTACTGCTATATGGATGTATACTCTTCAGTGCTGATTAGTCCTCTTTTGGCCCACATTTTCCGTTGATTTCAAATGTTTAGTTTCCTTTATCTTCTTCCTAAACTCCTCTTTTATCCTTAGCTTACTTAAATTATTACAGACTTCAGAAGTGCAAAAATAGTTAACACTGAGTTAACTTAGCTGTGGAAGGGGAGAATGAAACTGTTCTTTCCCCAGTGTGCCCAGACAAAGCAAACTGCTGCAGTTTCTTATAGCTTGTGTGTGCTTTTTCATCAATAACATGTGCCATCCTGATAATACGCTGCATGACAGAGGGTTGGATTGAATGGTTCTTTAGGTTGGATTGAATGGTTCCAACTCTATGACTCTATGATTCTAGGATGCTGCTTGTTCACACATGTCCCAATTTTCTTTTTTTGAGATGTTGAAAGGGTTTGGGGATGTGACTTTCATTGGACTTACAAAATATTGTTATATCCCTACACGGAACTTCTGACATTATGAATCAAGTACTTTGCTAAAGCACTTTATTGTGTGTTGTGTTCATCTTTAACTCACCATGTCTGATCTTTCCCTTTTTTATGGATTGAGCACACCAATTAGTTTAGGAGATCCTACATTCATGAGAAGGACTATAACTTTATACTCATGGAGTGATGTGAAAGTTGTGCATCACCACCTCTACAGAGAGAATTCACAGCCAAATACATATTGTGCACAAGTTTGCAGTGTATGACCACATACACTTTTATTTATTTATTTTATTTATTTAACTTGTATACCGCTACTCCCAATTTGGCTCAGAGCGGTTTACAGAAACAGATTAAAACAATACAATTAGCTTTAAAAATAACCACAACAATAACAATAGGCAGTGAGGACAGACATAGCCCGGGTTGTTCACCCATCAAAAGCTTGCCGGAAAAGAAAGGTTTTACAGGCTTTCCGAAAAGCAAATAAAACCTTTAACAGAATATGGCTTTCCTCAATTGATAACATTTTCCACTTCTAATTTTATGTATCAGGCCGACATGACTTGCTACCTTCAAAGCCACACATAATCCATTCAGCCTAGTACAATACATTAGAAGCCCCCTAGTTTTCCAGTCCTGACATTAGAGTGCCATTAAAATGACCAAGATTATTAATGGATACACAAGGTAGGAAAGGCTGCATCAGTTTGTTTTTGCCTGATCCAACTGGGAAGAAAAGATTCCACCCCTTCATCTCCTTTCGACCTACCGAGTTGAGTACAAATTCTTTTGAGTTGCGAACTCCGTTTGCAACAAATGAAGTAAGTCTGAACGAAGAGGAAAACTGGGAATTGGAGAGGGGAACCAAGACATTTGAAAAGCAGCTAAACAAGTGGGATGACAGAAGAGTAACTGGGACGGTCCCTGCCAAATCAGGACTGTTGAAGAGTATGCAGTCCCACACTGGAAGCCAAAACAGAAAGTTGATTGCCCCTAATGGGCTGTCATACACTGTTGATGGAGTATCTTTAGCTGGGTGAGTCATATGAAAGTCCATTCTACATACTGCAATATGTCTTTATATAAGGATATTAATAAGAACAGAAGGCTTTTGCCATATCTACTCATTTGTTTATTTTTTTAAAATTTCAGGTTACAGAACTTAATCATGTGAAGAATATATTGCGGTCGCCGAAAGGCACAAGAAAACATGCTGTAGGAATATATTTTAATGATGACACATCCAGGACATTTGCTTGTGAATCAGGTGGGTGTAATGGCAGAGGCTGGTTTTTTTTTTCTTTTTCAAAAATATAATTATTTGAGATAGTAGTAAATGCTACCTACATGCCACACTAACATGCAGATTTCTGGCCAATTATATGCAGAACTTGAAGCAGATGAATGGTGCAAAGTCCTGCAGATAGAGTGTCTGGGGACTCAGATTAATGACATTAGCCTTGGAGAACCTGACCTATTGGCTTCCGGTGTAGAGAGGGAACAAAGTGGTATGTAAATACAGTTTTATACACAGCTACAAATAGAAATGTTCAGGGTGCTTCTACCATGTGCTCATAAGAGTCAGAAATACACAAGGTCTGTGGGCCTGTTCAGCAGGGTGTTAAATTCCTCCCTGCAGTCATATTTGTGATCCATGGTTACTTCTCTTTTCTCCCTCCCCTCTTCTCTCTATGCACTTTATAGCCAGTGATCACAAGATTTACTTCTAAGAAAGGTTTGCTTGCTTTGGCGAGATGTGTTCTACTGATCACATTAAATAAAATGGCAATAGTTTGAATAGTTAATCTTCTAACCTTTATCACCATCATTGGGATTTTCAATTTACAGAATGGTATCCCACATAAAAAACTTTCTGCATTAAATAAACTAGTATGTCAAGCTGACAGATATCCTGAGCTGTTCTATGTGTAATGTAGTAAACATTAAAAGCTATGAACTTCCTCGCAGATTCAAGTTGTACAATTAAAACGTTTTTACCCATCTGTGTGCTGCTGTTCTGCATAGTGCAGGGAATCACATAGTGCAACCCCTATGCCTGCTGAAGATATCTTCCAGGACTTTGTATGGATGTGTAAAATTCTTGGTATAGTGAACCCCATTGAATTGATAACTTCTGTGGAAGCATATCATAGAGATGCTTCGGAGGCCCTGGGAGGTGCACTAAGAATTGTTGAGCACTTTGGAAGCTGAAAATGTATGACTATTTTGTTATGATTGTACTTTGTCTGCAATCTTTTAATTCTGCAAAGATTTTTTGTCTAAATCTTTTGTTTTCCTCCCAGAGAGATTCAATGTGTATTTGATGCCATCCCCTAATTTAGATGTCCATGGGGAATGTACCTTACAGATAACTTTTGAAAACATCTGTCTTTGGGACATCCAGAATCCCAGAGTTAAACTTGTTTCTTGGCCTTTAAGTGCCCTGCGGCGATATGGGCGGGACTCCACTTGGTTTACATTTGAAGCTGGAAGGTGAGTTAACACTTTTTGTGTGTATGTAGGTATTTTCAGTTTGCCTATTGCCCTATGGTGACTTCATGAATTTCACAATGTTTTCTCAGGCAAGGATGTTGCCAGCTAACTCCTATGAAATTAGGGAGAGGGCCTTCTCAATGGTGGCCCACCAACTCTAGAACTCTCTCCCCAGGGAGATTAGACTGGTGCCCACCTTGTCCACTTTTCGTAAAGACCTAAAAACGTGGCTCTTCCACTTTATTTTTGATTAAACAGTTCACTAGATAATTTTGCTCCTGCACTTTACCACTGTTCCCTGCCCTATAGATATAGTGTTCTATTTGACACTGCCCTTCTAGCCCTAACTTATCCTCTGGCTCCGGCACTTTATCCATCAGCCCTGTCCATACAACTGTATTGCACTAGCCACTGCCCACCTGAGTTTTGGATTTGGTTGCTATGTCATGCTATTGGTTCTTTGTTGATGGTATTTTATGTTGTTTTATGATGTTGCTTTATAAATTTTACTATGTTATATTTTAAACTATGTTTGAACAGGCTTGTCCCCATATTAGCCACCCAAAGTCCATTTGGGGAGATAGTGGCGGGATACAAAAATAAAGTTGTTGTTGTTGTTGTTGTTGTTTAGTCTATAGAACCTGGTATGATCAACAGATGTTTCCCAATACAGATCCCTTTGAGATCTTAGGGTTGCTTCACAGGCAGAAGCAGGCTGCTGGCTCCACTGCTGCCCTACTCCATTTTTAATAGAGGCTGGCCAGGCATTTACAAGGCTGCCCATGAATTCATAGTCACTCTATATTTTGCAGCTCTGTATTCCTTATTAAAATGGTGTAGACAGCAGTAGAGGCAGCAATAATCCACTAATAATAATACAATCTGCAAAAGCTAAACCTGTAAATTTGGAGGGCCACTAGACTTTATGGCCACTTAGGGTGTATGTATTTTGATTTACAACTTCTCTCTGTTGTTTCTTTCTTTCTTATTTTTGAAAGACTGCTACAAGTGTGCATTTCCAAATCATTCTGATCACATTGGGACTTTGTTTTTTTCCTCTTTCCAACAGAATGTGTGACACAGGGGAAGGGCTATTCATCTTTCAGACAAGAGATGGAGAAGCCATCTATCAGAAGGTTCACTCGGCGGCTTTGACCATAGCAGAACAACATGACCACTTGTTACAGAGTGTGAAAAACTCCATGGTATGCTTGCTAGTTCTGCCTGTCATCCTCTGACAGTCAGCACTGCTGACATCTACTCCATAGGTCATCTTGCTAAGCATGACTTCAGATTTAGATTTTCAGAGAGCAAACAGTTCCAGCATGTGACTGTCTTTCTTTTGTCCTTGTTAACTCATTCCATGTTTTTTTTTTAACATATGGGGGTCATAAAAGGCACCTGGAACTGCAGTTGCTTTTTAATTGTTGGAAAATGTGCTAGGAAATTACTTGCACCAGATTTGTTGTCTTATAGAAGGCACTTCTTTAAAAAAGGAAAGAAAACCCACAACAGTATGTGTAAGGTACAGCAAAGGATCTAACTCCTGTAAATCAGAATAGGTAATCAAACTGTATCGGTATGCAGAGCAGGGCAGTCCTTTCAGGAAACAAAGTCGTGATTATGAGTGATTTAAAAAATTGAGCCCAACAGCTTTTCTCAAGCCTCCTCAGATAGGGTGTAGTGGAAAACTTCCTGTAAGCAAATGGTTACTGGTGGTTTCCATGTCAGTAGAATGATGAATACCAGTCTTGGTTTTAGTCCAGTTGGCAGAATGAGCTTGTTCTTCTCAAGGAACAAAAAATCTTGGGCAACTAACATCTTTTTATTGGTACTAAAGTGCTAAAACGGCTAAAAGATTCCATGAAATACTTTTCTGACAGAGAAACTGGCACTATATTGTGTATAAAAAGGGGTGAAAATAATAAATGGTAGTGGAAGGGAGCCAATGGCTACTGAAAAATATTTGTTAGTCTATGTTTCTTGCCATTTTTTTACTTCTAAGTTCTTGAATTAAAATATAAGATGATATCAGCAAAGGCATTTGTGATAACCAGGAGCTTTCCGGAGCTCTGTGGTCATCTACAATGGTCACAGGGGAAACATGGACCTGATCCATAGAATCATAGAATCACAGAGTTGGAAGAGACCTTGTGGGCCATCTAATCCAACCCCTGCCAAGAAGCAGGAAAATACCAACCAATGGCCATCCAGCCTCTGTTTAAAATCCTCCAAAGAAGGAGCCTCCACCACACTCCAAGGCAGAGAGTTCCATTGCTGAACAGCTCTCACTGGCAGAAAGTTCTTCCTAATTTTCATGCCCTTTTACTTGCACTGATGAAAAGGGATGGTGGTGCCAGTCCATGTGTGCACCAGAGCTGGTCTGCTTTCCAGTTACACACTGTGTTGAAGTTTTGATGAAACTCTGGAGCATCCCCTGACTTTCCTTAGCATGAGACTAAACTGATTCACTCTGATTTACCTGTGGGCTTTCAGAAGTCACTTCTGGTCCACTTTGAGTTTTGTGGTCAATGTAGACAACTCTTAGTATTTCTCTTCTCATTTATTTTCTCTATTCTTTAATTTATTATTAGCAACTTTATGTTGCCAGGTGACATGTCTCCCTTTCGTTGTTCCATATTGGTTTTGATTTATAACAACCTACAAGAGATCTGTCTGATTGTGTTTAGCCAGAACAGTTCTGTAAGCAATAGCCTGTACTGAAGGTGTGTTGATTGCCTATTAACTGTTAGCTCCATGGCTGCAACTTCTTAAATTAATATTACTTGATCAATGGCTTGATTGATCAAATGTGTTTTACAAATTATTTCAGCTGCCTAAATGTCTTCTTCTGAAGGAATTACAGGCTGTCCCTGAGTTACGTCTGACTTACAAACAAACATCTGACTTACAAACAACTCACACTAAAGAACAGGGGTGAGACAACAGGAAATGAGAGATATGTGCCCCTAAGAAGGAAAATTACCTCCTGAAATAGTTAGCATGCGGAAAAGGTGTCTCCACTGAAACTTTATCTGCAATACTTGTTTTCATAACAAGCCAAATTTTTCAAAGTCCAATTATCACAGGGACAGAAAGTGAAATCTTCTGAAGTGTGGCACAGGCAGCACAACAAACATCACAGGGGTATTAACCCTTCCTTGTACTACCCATTAACATACATATATGGATGAAGTAACACTTAAAATGTACCTGTTCCAACTTACATACAAATTCAGTTTAAGAACAAACCTACAGAACCTATCTTGTTTGTAACTTGGGGACTGCCTGTACACATTTGTAGCAAGAAACTTTTTTATCTCCGTGGCCGGAGTTGAGCATTGCCTCCAGATGCCAGAGATTAAAGGCAAAGGCCTTTACCTTTGTCTATTTTATGTCATTGTTGTTTACTGTGTAAAATGCACTGAACGTTTGCCTTATATATGTATACTGTAATCCACTTTGAGTCCTTCTGGGGAGATAAAACAGAATATAAATAAAGTGTATTATTATTATTATTATTATTATTATTATTATTAACATTATTTTGATAATTTAAGAATATTGGAAGCTAAGCAGAAAATGCCCCTTATTTTGTCTCAAGTTCAAAAAACTAATTTTACTAGAAATTTCTAGAGGCAGAAAAAAATCAAAGACAGAAAATCTTAGCAATTTTTTCATGCCTACCACCCCATTGAAACATTTTTAGGTCCAAGGTATGACTTTTTAAAGCATGATGCAAACTGGAAATAATTTTCAACCTGTCCTGTTATTTAAAAATGGATCTAAAACATGGTTAGAAGTGCCCTTATGCTTCCATAACGGAGGAAAATTCTGTGGGTTTTTTTTTGTTTTTTGGGGTTTTTTTTACAAAATATGTTTAGTAATGATAGAGACAGTGGTCTGCCTATATCCTAAAGGTACCAGATCCTGTCTAATTGTGGAAGGTAAGTAGGATCAGTTCTGGTTTGAACTTGGGATACCAAAAACAAATACCAGGTTCTGCACACTATATTTCAGTGGAAGGAATTGGCAAATCATCTCGAAGTATTTCTTGCTTAAAAGCACACCATGAAATTCATAGGGTCACCATAACTCGAAAGGCATATCCATTCACCTATACACACATGTGGCCTCATACAGTTGCCCAATGCCCACCTCTGCTTTCCATAATGGAAAAGTTGTCCATAAAATTAAATGATAGTTTTAATTATCTTGTGGAATTCACCTACACAGTCTGTGACTTTCTCTTTTTAAAAATCCTAGATACTCAGAATTTGAGGCACAGCTATAGATTCATGTACATTTTAAATTCACAGATATAGGATCAAATCTTACTGATTAGTTCTAACTTTCAACGTGATTATTAAATTCTGCTGCCCTGGAGACTAGGACACAGAATAATGGCTTCAAACTACAGGAAAGGAAATTTCACCTGAACATTAGGAAGAACTTCCTGACTGTGAGAGCTGTTCAGCAGTGGAACTCTCTGTCCCAGAGTGTGGTGGAGGTGCCTTCTTTGAAGGCTTTTAAGCAGAGGCTGGATGGCCATCTGTTTGGGGGTGCTTTGAATGCAATTTTCCTGCTTCTTGGCAGGGGGTTGGACTGGATGGCCCACAAGATCTTTTCCAACTCTATGATTCTGTGATTCTATGAAATGGTGAATCAATGTGTAAGTAAATCCTATTTATTCCAATGGTTTGATTCTAATAGGGACAAACAATAGCATTTGGACCAGGATGTTTTATTTTAGTCTATTTATATACTAGGATTAACTGCTTTTCTCCAACCAGCGAAACTGCTTCTGATAGAAACATCTAATTCCTAACCTGATGTCATTTTCAAATTCAAAATAATTTCACTGCCACTCCTTTCACCCAAATTGAATGAGGATTTATTAAACTGAAAATATGAGGGGGGCTGTGATGCCAGCATACAATATTTTACAGAGCGCTACATCTCCTAAAATAGATTTTTTCTTGTTTCCATAGCACTGGAATATAGGATAACATTGCAAGCTGTGTTAAAGCATGAGCTGAAGAGACATATTTACTTAAGATTGTGTAGGTGGAAACATCTATTGTGTGGCATGATTCACTATTTGTAAGAAAGATGTGGGTGTTTAAAGATAAGGAGTTGATTTCAAGTTTTATGTGATTTGCAGAGAGTGTTTTGAATGGAATGGTTGCATTTTATAGAAACAGGAAGTTCAATACCCCAAAATAAGAACCTGTAAAAATTCTGCTACATTAAACCACAGGGCCATCTGGTCCTATCTGCTGATTCCACATTGGCCAACCAGATGCCTTGGAGGGTTAGACCTTGAGTCTCGGATTTGGGAAAAATACAGGATATAAATACAGGGAAGAAAAAGATAACCAAGATGAGGAGGAGGAGGAGGAGGGAGCAACACCATAACTGCCGCCACATCATTCTCCTACTTGTGCTCCTTAATAACTGCATACTGACTCTACTACTCAGTCTAATATAGAACTGCCATGATTTATAGTCATGGATAGCTTTATCTTCCTATATTTTCTAGCCACCCTGATTTTGCAGGGACAGTTGTAATACACATATTCTAGTTTGAATTGTGTAATACGAATATGCCTTTCTCCCTTTAAAGCTCATTCCAGACTAGAGGTATTAACCCCTGCCCCCTCATGATAATCACCATTTTATGACAGTGGAGATTGCTCCCCATCTTCGTATGACACACCAACTTATGAGAAGATGTAGAAACAATGTGCAGTTTAAAGTTCAGAGAAAGTCAATGGCAAACTCTCTCAGAATAAATTTTGCTAAGAAAGTCCCATGATAGGTTTGGCTAAGAGTCACCATAAGGCTGAACTCGGAAAGTCAGAAATGACCCAGTTGGGATCTAAAGATGAGACAGTACTCATCAAAAGCATAATATTCAAAAGTAGTTTCTACTTTGTCAGGCTACAGCTATCTATCTCTATTTTATTAACACTTTAAATGTGCTTCCTTTTAAGACATTATAGAAATAAAAATTTAGAAGCATAAGATAAATGTTGATGAGACATTCCCCAAAGAAGATTGAATGCAGTCTTTTTGTGTTCACCCCATTTTCTCTTTAATTTTATTCCCACTGCAGATGAAAATGAGTGATCGGGCTGTTTCCCTTGGCACCATGGTCCCTTTGCCACGGAGTGCCTATTGGCAGCACATCACACGGCAACACAGCACTGGGCAGCTCTTTGGCTTACAAGGTAGGAAACTGATAAACTATTCAAAAATAGCCTTAAATATTATCAGAGTCCTCTCATCATTTATCAGTGTACTGAGACATATGTTTTGCCAAATTGTGGCTTGACATTTTTTGAATGATCCTTAGGCATTCGTGGCTATCTCCCTTTACATCAACCACTGACATGGTCTCATTACCTCCATAAACTTCCAATTTCAGGTAAACCATGGTTTTCTACTACAGCTGAGTCACTAAACCATGGTTTGTACTTATCCTTTAAAGCAGAATTGGACAAGAGCAAACTGCAGTTAGATGATCTGGGTGCAATGACAAATGATAGCTTTCCATAAACTTACAGGCAAATTAAATAACCAGAAAATGCAAAATGAGGAGGGAATGAGACAAGCAAGCATGAAAGCAGTTTTAATCATATACTGATAACTTTGCATATAAACTACTGCTGCCAGTTGATTGGAAGATAGTTCTTTTCTGATAATGCACATGAACACTGGTGATTCAACATTTAATTCAGTTGGTCTGTTTTAGTTAGATCTAGTGGACCACACATCATTAAATACTAAGGTCAGGAGAATCCATCCCATGTATTTTCAGTTCCTATATATGGGGATGAAGACTGAAGAAAGCTGACAAGAAAAAAAATCATGTCAAATGTAGTGCTGAAGTAGATTTTATAGCTAAAGTGAACCACCAAAAAGACAAATATGGGTCTGAGATTGAGCCTGAACTCTCCCTAGAAGTCTGAATGGCTTAACCAAGGCTATCATACTTTGGACATATTTTGAGACCAAATTATTCATTATCGTCACGCAGAGGTTCTGAATATCTACTCAGCCCACTAGGCAAATGACTGGTGACTGATGGGTGTTTACATGTTGTCCCCACTAACCAAAGCTTACAGTATCCAGTATCAATTCTAGTTGGAGGCTTTGGGAGCTGTAGTTCAAAAACATGTGTATGGTTCTTTCCCTTTTAGACCTTAGACTGATCTTTTCTTCATCAAATTATAAGGGGTTCAGTTTTGTTTCAGTACAGCCAAAATCAAAAGTGTGATGAGTAATTTACAATAGTGTTTAACCAGATCTTACAAGATCACAAGTACTTTGGAACATGAAGTACATGAACCATATTATGTTTTGGCATCTATGAGATGAAAATTTATAACTTCAGTCCTCTACCACCTTATTCTCAGCCTTATCTTTGCATTATTTCTTTAGCTGGATTTTAGATTCCCTTTGCTCCACTGGTACTCTTCATTTTGGTGAGAACATAGATTCCCCCTTTTTATGTAAATGTGGATATTGGGGTCCTATTCATGGGCGTAGAAAGAGAGAGTGGGTGGAATTAAAGGCTGAATCCTTTTGGTTGGCCTCAGCTATCTCTATAGTGGAGTTCTATTGTTAGCACTTTGAAATTAATTAGGTTTACAGCCCAAAGCTAGTCCATGCTATTAATAAGCTAAAAGTTCAGCAACCATGCTATGAATGTTCCCACACACTCATTATACATGGAAGGTCACTTCCTTCCATTTCTGGACGTAGCCAAGACATTTTGCAAAAACATTGCAGATGTTTTAATTTATATCATCTGAAACATGAGTACAGGGAATATTGAAATGTTTAGATCTTCATTTAGTACCAATTAAAGTACATTCACTGAATCAGTATGATTGCTCTATTTGTTGTCTCATCATTCAGCAATAGATTCAGCGAGTTTATTCTAGTTGAGAATAACCAGCAGAATTCAGACTTTTATCACCCCAATCCCATCATTTCTCCTAATATGGGAATAAGGTAGATATATTTGTGCCATTTCTCATCAATTCTTTCTCCTACAATCTCTGAAGGACATCTAGTGGCCAGGACAAGTATGTTCAGTGATATCCAATATAACAATTTCATTTGTTAGGGAGTAAAAAGATGAGTACTCTTAGTTTTACAGTGCAAACCTGTGCATATCTACTTGGAAGAAAAGTCCACTGAGTTAAATGTGATTTGTTTCCAGGTAAGTGTGTACCTTCCCTCCAACAGTGCTGATTTGGCAGGACAGCCCCAGATTCAACCTCAGAGTCAGTGGCAACCATTGACTTGCTTAGTATAGGTTTGCGTTAGCATACTCATATATCAGGAATCATTTGACAGCACACAAGAGCAATGCCCTCACTACTCCCCTCTGTAACTACATCTCTAGTTCCCAAGTTTGTGAAAATGCAGAATAATATTTTATGTATTTCCTTAATGATAGTTGACTAACATATTGCTATTTCTCCCTCCTTTTGACTTGATTTGGAGAAGAAAGTCCACTGAAGATTCATCGAACAGAAACTTTCCCCACCTATCGATCAGAGCATTGATAAAAGAGAGCCAAGGACTTTCAGAATACGTGTGCCTGTGTCTTGCAATGAACAAAATGTAAAGAGACTTTCATTGACATTGGACAACAATAAACAAATAACAGCAGATAGAAGAGAGGAAGACCGGATTAAGATTGCAGGATAATTTTATAAAACGTCTTCAGCCAAAGGAAGTGCAGCCTGAAGATAACTTTGGAAAGTCACTCCATTTGATAGTTATGTCTGGAAATACAAAACTATCCCACAGTGTGATTTTATCCCCCTCTTGAATATAATTGATATAGGTTGATGATTTGTCCTATGGTATAAATTGTTGAAGATTTTTCTTCATTAATTTTGATGGTATCTTAGATTATGTAGTTTACCGTCTTTGTGTATTTTCTCTTTACTTCAGTGTCCCAATCCATCACTGAGCGTAGCACTTTTCATAATAGTGACCAGTTTTTTTTGGAGCTGGAATCTGTTGTCCTTGTCTATTAAAAGTCTGGTTAAGACTCATCTAAGTTATCAAAAAGACACTTCTCTTGTCTTTTGATTTATGTTTCTTTCATAGCATTGAACTCTGCCTTTTAGAAGTTTAGAAATATAAAAGTTATTTCCACACCTTATGAAAAGTTGCACACATGTTTTCCTAAAGGAACAATTAGATAACATAAACAAGAATGACATACCCAAGATTCTGAGAGCGTTAACTGCAATAGTGTTTGTCTCCTACATTAATATGCTCTTATTTGAGATAGACTTTTCTTAGAGCCACATGATACTTCAAGCCAAATTGGAGGCCAGATCATCTCTGTGACACTTGTATGGAGTACAGAACAGATTGAAGATAATATAGCAAAGGCCACTTAATGTTAAGAGAAGTAACAGGATATTTGAAAGCAGCCATGGTTGATTATACCATCATCACCATCACCATCATTATTATGTTTATACCCTGCTTTTTCTCTCCACACGGAGACTCAAAATGGCCCGGGCAGCTCAGGGACAAGGGATGGCACCTACATTGCCCCCTCAGAATACACAGCAAACCACCTTTGGCCCAAACCACAATAATTTGTGGTGGCCACCAGGCACAAAAATGATACTGTTCAACTCTTGGCTCCTGGAGTGTTGATATCCAGAGCACAGAGGCAATTGGAGAAGGGAGAGGGGAAAGAAGGGCTCTCACATCACCTCAGTACTCTGGATGTCATTGCTCCTGGTACTGAGCACGGGCCAGCTCCATTTTTGTTTCCAATGGACACATACCATGAACAGCAGATGAAATGGGGCAGGATTAGAGTCACAGGTGAGCAGCGTCGAACTGGTTCTGGTACTGCTCAGGCATACAGCCAACATCCAGCCACTAGGGTGCTTTGGGGTTTTGAAGTGTAGCCTCCATCTAGCTTCCAAGCTAGCTCAGGGGTGGGGAGTGTAGCCTCAGGCAGTCCTGATTTGGGGTACACCGCCCCAGAATAACATCAACTTTTCTTCCCTGTCAAAGTGCACCCCTTGCTATGCCAATAGAAAGCATTTTGAGAGCACTGTACTGAATGAATGAATGAATGAATGGGAAGAATGAGCTGTCTTCATTCACTTGAGAAAACTCTTCAGCCAGCTCTGAAGAAGCTTGGAAGCTAGTAGGGCAGGCTTTCACTCTTGACCAAGAGCGCATCTGCATTGTAGAATTAATGCTGTTTGATACTACTTTAACTGCCATGGCTCAATGCTAAGGGATCTTAAGATTTGTAATTTGGTAAGGCATCAGCACTCTTTGGCAGAGAAAGTTAAAGACAATGTAAAACAATGACTCTAGGATTCCATAGCACTACGCCATGGCAGTTAGTCGTGTCAAACTGTAGATGCACCCAGAGTTTACTTCTTATACTGTCTCCCCTGTCATTGTGATGCCTCACCCATGCCACCAATGTCACCACTTGGGGCATCATTGCACCAAATAAAAGGATTGTGGGCATGAATGGTTCAATACATGGATCACAGGTCAAATTTTCCAGATGTGGTCTATAGCCACATCTTTCCCACATCAGAAGGATATACTGTGTGTGAGCATTTGGTATATGCTGTAGAAGAACTTTTAAAAAAATATGCCATGCTAGAGGAAACATAGAAAAACAGTAATGAGCTGTGATATGCTGGAGGAGCTAATTGCAATATACCTGCTATGCTTCCAGACCTTCATGTCTTTGGAACTACTAAAAGACTGTGAAAGGGAGAACTTCATGAAGTCCCTAATGGGGCATTACATGTACAGCTGGTGGGCTGTATATATATTTTGTTCCATGCTGTGTAGACTCGTAGCAAAGGTGATTTTTGTAGCCAAAGGAAAAAAAACCTAGAATGCATGAGATCACTTTAATATTCTTTTCCACAGAGATGCTTCATATACACTTACCCAACCTTGGCATTTCTTCATGGCTGCTTGTATATTAAATGAAGTCTGATCACAGGGAACTGCAGAGACTTTTCCCACTCGATCATGAAACATGATTGACTGCATAAATAATTATTTTGCCATGGATCATAATTTCTCAAAACATTTCTTTGCAATGCTTGGTTCTGCCATTAGGTGTTGCCCTATCACTGCTCACTTTCTCTGGGTGTGCAGAAGCAAAATGCAATAGTATTTTACACCACTTCAACCAAAATAATCAGGGAATGCTCTATTTTCCCAAAGAAGTATGTTTGAAATCGAAAAATGTTGGTGCAAAATACCAGCTAACAGAGATTTAGAGCAAAAAACAGACTGTGGTAAAGTTACTTTTAAAGACTATATTTCTCTTATTTGAGAATTCTAGAAGTGATTTTCCAAGGTCTGAACAATAATTAATCAATTTGTGCAAGCTCTAAACCAGCTTTATTAATTATCTACACTGACCTTTGATTCTAATCATGCAGCTCCAACTCCAGATTAGAATGACTGTAATATCCGAAGGCATGTATCAAGGTAAAGAATTGGTATCAGTCTATGTCCATAACATTGGCTATTTGTTAGAGTGCAGAGAGAAGGGAAGTCGCTACATTTCTGGCAACCTTTCCTGAGGCTCAAGTTTGCATTCAGAACTGGAACAATAGTTCTTAAAGACTGTGACATGGCTGGAATCCCTGGCAGTACTTAAAAGTATGAGATTATGGATGATATATGAATAACTCTTGTTTCATAATTTCAAATATATATGAATGTATATCCTAGCTGTATTGGATACTGTGTGCAGTTGGATTCAGTATAATCAGAGTTCAGTTGTAGCTGCATGTCTGTAGTCTATTCACATATAGTAACTAGCGAAGCCCCAATGGGGAAACACATTCTCACCTTCATCAAAGGGTACAGTAAACAGAATATTGATTTGTTGGAACATGACCAGAAGAATGCAAGCCAAGTCTATAACACAAGAACTGTGGGCACCGCGTAAAGGAACTAGGTAAGTTTAATGCAGAAGTTGAGTATTTCTTAACAAAAATGCTTGGGGCCAGAAGTGTTTTGGATTTCAGATTTTTTTTTTCAGATTTTGAAATACCCGTTTTTGCATCTACAGTAGACTCTCAGTTAACCAGCATCCACAGGAATTGGTAGATGCTGGATAAATGTTTCCGGTTGCTTGGGAGCTACTATCGAAATAGGCCTAATGCAATACCGTAAAGTTGGTATTGACTGGGTATTAATATTGAAATACAGCAATTAAAAGATTAATAAAAACAAACTAAACTTTATCTAGCACATTTTTGCTGTTCTAATGTATTATTAAAACACATTTTAAAATTTTAAAGTTATATTTTTTATTCTTTTTTGCTGGTTCCTCAAGAGTTCCAGTTCTTTGAATTCCAACTAAATGAGAGTCTACTGCACTTCCAAAATGTAATATCTTGAAAAGGAAAATCAAACAGGAAATTTATTTCTGTTTCATACATATTGCATACACTTGAAGGTAATTTTATACAATATTTTAATTTTTTGCATAAAATAAAGTTTGTATACATTATTATTATTATTATTATTATTATTATTATTATTATTATTCTATTTATTCATACCCTGCTTTATCTCCTCCAAAGAGGACTCAAAGCGTCCATGTATTGAACCATTCATGCCCACAATCCTTTTATTTGGTGCAATGATGCCCCAAGTGGTGACATTGGTGGCATGGGTGAGGCATCACAATGACAGGGGAGACATAAAATCATCCGCATAACCATTTAAAATATACAAATATGCAAACATTAAAACGGGATTAAATATAAACAGTATTCAAAAATTCCCAGTTAAAAACCATTAAAAAAATTCAAAGTTAAAACACGTGCCACTATCTCAGCCACCCATGTGGGCATTTTTAGATTTTGGAATATTTTGGAATTCAGAATACCAGATAAGGGATGCTCAACTAGTTACATATCTGAAGTCATTTTTTCTGCTGCTCCAGAGGGGACTTTGAAGCAAAGGATTCAAATTACAAGAAAATATATTCCAGGCAAATTGTAAGACTCATTTGACAGTGGAATAGCTCACCTTGAAAGGTGGTAGAATCTCTTCGAAATAAAATGTGAATGACTATGCACCTTAAAGTATTAATAACTGTCCATTCAGAAATGTAATCCTATACAGATCTCCCTTGCTGCATTAAAGCAATTGATAACAATGCCACATTTCATGTTACAAACTATTGTACTTATTAAGGGATACTTTAATGACGCCTTTTATTTATATTCTTAGGGAGGTTACCAATTTTGCAGTTTAATCTTCTTTATTTTAACCATGAACATAAACAAAATGTTCCAGATACTGGAGAATATAAGGGTTGTATTTATGCATCAGTGAAGAAAGAGGATAAAAATCATTGAGTAGCATTACCAAAAGTCCTAGAGAAAACAATATGTTCTGATATTGGGAGGTCACAATGGAAGAAGGAGAATAAACAGTCAATTATTATTCTATTTATTTATACCCCACTGAGGTATACTGAGGACAACCCAGTATCTCTGCACGTTGTGGTCTGAACTCAAAACAAACCTGAGGGTGACATTTCTTGTAAACTTTCATGTTCTGAAGGTGAGCTAAATAAGCAATATTGCACCATGTTGGTTGTAGATATTTTTAATAAAGCAGAACTTGTATAACTGTAGCTGTACGCATACAGCCAAGCAATAAAGCAAAAATCAAAATGTGCAGTGAAACAGATACCCAAAATTTAATATGAAGGTGATGAAAGTAAAAGGAAAGATATTAAGGAAGAACAACATCAGAAGGGAATATGGATGTAACAGACAATCTGTATGACTCAGGCAACTGTGGAATTCACCAGAAAGTGGTTCATAAAATGATCCTGCGTAGAAAGAAATAACAATTATTTTTCAGGTAAGATGTAGAAGTTCTGATTCTCGCTGTTTGCCCTCATAATCCCCAGGAGCATGCTGTTTGCCCTCTACATCCACAGACTCTGGATCCAGCTATGCTTTGAAAACATTTTTAATTCCAAAAAGCAAACCTTGATTTTGTCATTTTATATAAGACCTTATTTTAT